CTACCTTGGGGGCAGGGGGTCCTGCTTACGCCGTGGCTCCCCTGTGTCCTTCTCCTGATCTGGTGTTTTTATGGGTTTGGATAAAGTGTGTTCCCATCCCTGCCTTAACCCCAGGAGGCCCCAGAAGTGTTCAGCTGGGGTTGGAAACCCAAGGCTCATGAACCACAGGCTTCTCCCGTAGAGACAGGAAGCCATGTGTTATAGTTTGTTTCTCCATTGCTGTGACAAAATACTCTGACCAATACCAACTTGGGGGAGGAAAGGGTCTATTTGGCTTACATCTTCCAGGTCACAGCTCATCACTGAGGGAGCCCAAGGTAGAAACTCAGGGCAGGAACCTGGAGGCTGGAACTGGAGCACAGGCCATGGAGGAACACTGCTTACTGGCTAGCTCCCCTGGCCCATGCTCAACCTACTTTCTTATACAATACAGACCAACCTGCCCAGGGGTGGCACTGCCCACTGTGGGCTGGGCCCTCCCACATCACACAAAAATCAAGAAGATGCCCCACAAACATGGCCACAGACCAGTCCAATAGAGACAATTCCCCAATTGAGGCTCCCTCAACCCAGGTGTGTCAGATTGACAACTAAAGCTGTCCAGCACACCATGGAATAGTGGACAAGAAGATATTTGTGATACAGGAAGTGTTAGCAGGACCATGCCCTTGGCCTAGGCATGTCCCTCGCTCCAGGCATTGGCCCAGGCTGGCCTCCCTTGGTAGCCTGTCCCCATCCTATCTCCAGCCCAAGTGGACTTCCTAAAATGCTTCAGGAGGAAAGTACCCTTCTACTGTATACCAAAAGCAGTTTTCTCCAAGCTTAATTCATCATGCTGGTTTAATGTGTTCTTCATGTGATGCTCCTATCTTAGTCCTGGCCCTGACATCTCACAAACCAGTAGGAACAAGAAAAGCACACCCCTCCTATCCCACCACCATTCTAGCTCATCTGCCCCATCCCAGCTCTGATCAACATCTCCTAGATCCATGTTCAATCTTTTGCTTAGGTCTCCTTTCTAGGGGTTAGAAAGATCACACAAGCAGATAAGAGCACTGACTGCTTGCCAAGGACCTGGGTTCAGTTCCCAGTATCCACATAGTGGCTAACAACCCCCCATAATCCCAGTTCCAGGAGATCCAACGTCCTTTGTAAGTAAATAATTTTTTTAAAGTCTCCTTTCTAGTGCTGGGTGTGGTGGTGCATGCCTTTTATCCCAGGCAAAGGCAGGTGAATCTCTGTAAGATAGAGTCCAGTCTGGTCTACAGAGGGAATTTCAAGCCAGCTAGGCTACAGAGAGACCCAGTCTCAAAACAACAACAAAATCTCCTTTCTAAGGATAAAATTCTGCTTCCTGGGATGCCCATTTCTCTCCTCATCAGCCTCAGAAGGGGGATCAGGTCTCTCTCCCTTGGTTGTTCTCTTCCTGTCTCAAGGTGTTTTTAGGGAAGCATCAAACCTCCAACTTGTCATGATTCTTCTCAAAGAGTGAGACTTGAATTAAACTCTGCACAGAAACTATTCCTTGAGTCCAGTATGAGAAATGCCACTAAGAAAAGCAGCAAGGTCGTTTTGAGTGAAAGTTCAGGAGTGCCTCTGCCAGTCAGAGCTGGCTTCCTCTGCTTCCTGGCTTGGGGCTTCAGTTTTTTTCACTCAAGGTTATAGATAACAAAGCACTAGTGGTTAACAACCATCTGTAACTCCAGTTCCAGGGGATCCAACACCCTCTTCTGACCTCTGTGGACATTGTAAGACATGGGTGCACTTACAGACATAGAGGCAATACACTCATATACTTAAAATAAAAATAATTTAAAAAAATTTTTAAAAGCTCCAAAACAAAGCACTAGCCATGTTGGGTCAGCCTGAGGCCCAAGCAAGTCAGAGCAAGTGCTGTGAATAGTGTAAAGACTCAGTCAGCAATCAACAGACATTTGTACTTTTTCTTTTTTTCTTAAAAATAAGTGACATGAAAGATGAACAATTTTGAAACTGTGTGATGTGTAAATGTGGATTTATGGAGTTTTCTTTTTCCTTTTTATTTTAAATTGTAGTAAAGTTTAAAATGTCGGAGCTAGAGAGATGACTTAGTAAAGTGATTGTTGTCCAAACATAAAGACTTTAGTTCAGATCCCCAACAACTATGTAAAAAGCCAGGCGCCACAGCACACTTCTGTAATCCCGGAACAGGGGAGGTGGAGAAGGTCGGATCCCTGGAGTTTGCAGGCCAGCCAGTCTAGCCAAATTGGTGAGTTCCAGGTTCAGGGAGAGACCTTGTCTCAAAAATTAAGGTGGAGGACTGTTGAGGTAGCTCAACTGATAAAGGCACATGCTTCCAAACCTGAAGACCTGAGTTCAGTCCCCAGACCAGCATGGTAGAAGGAGGGAACTGACTCCCACAGATTGTCCTCTGACCACAGGCATGCTAGACACATACACAAAATAAATAATTTTTTTAAATTAAGGTAAAGAGCAATTGAAGAAGACACCTGACCTCTACTCTGGCCTACACACACACACACACACACACACACACACACACACACACAGAGTAAATGCATTAATTGGTTGTGATACATTTATATAACTATTGTATAACTATCTTTTGATGTTACAGTATCTGGGGATACAAAAGTAAACAAAACTGTTCCTGGCATTACTAAGTACCCAGTATATAAGGAGATAGACATGCAAGCCAAATTTCAATCCAAAATGCAAGGTTGGGAATTGGACATACATGCACCTAGATATCAAGGTGGCTCTGCCACAGAGTGAAATGTCTCTTTCCGGACACCCCTTGCTCCAATAGTGCATTAATTTGTTTAACAGCCAAAGTTCCCATGTCTGTCTAGAAAGTGGCAGTTTTCAGTTTTCAGTTGTTTCCATAAGTTGTAGTTAATGTCTAGGGCTCTAGAGTTCAGGTGTCTGATTCAAAGGCCTGATTCTGTACTCTGGGGAGCTCTCAGCATCTTCCTGTGGAAATGAGGCAACTGCATGCAAAGTACTTGGCCCAGGAGATGTACCTCATCAGGTTCTCAGATGTTGATTGCCTTTTCTCCCACCCAGACTCCTAAATAATTTAGGAAACTCTTCTTTTACTCCAGAGTTTGCACCAAGTCATCTCCACCCTAATCCTCATCCTCAATGACAAATTCCTACCTGGCTCTTGAGGGGATCTAGAAGGGCTCAGCCGAGCGCATTCATTTTTCCATTCCTTCCAGGAATGGGAGGGGCTGGGTGCGTTGATGCCAGAGACCACAGGACTCAAAAGCTTGAAAGGGTGATGACAGAAAATTTTGAGAAAACTCTTTGAGCGTTCTTGAAATGGGGATGAATTTTTCTCTAGGCACGCAGACGTTTCACTTTTATGAGACTACAGCGCCACCTGGTGGCTCTATGCGGTAGTGGCTAGCTTGCCATAGCCCAGTCGGTCTTTTTGTTTTTGTTTTTTTGGTCTCCCTGTGGCCCTAGCTGGCTTGGAACTCGCTAGGTAGACCAGGATGGCCTCGAACTCACAGCCATCGACCTGCCTCTGCCTCCAGAGTCCTAGGATTAAAGGTATGAGCCACCACACAGGGGTATTATTGTGCTCTTAAAACAAATTAGTCCATGGGCGAGAGGTTCAGCGGTTAAGGCCACTTGTCAAGACCGCTTGTTGCTCCTGCACCCGGGGGATCGGTCGCCCTTTTCTGACCTCCTGAGCAACCACAAGCACATTAGTCCATAATTTCAAAACTAAATAAAATCTTTAATTTATTTCCTCGGTAGTAAGCCAGGGCACTGGAAAAGTTATGTTATTTGTGCCCTAATAAGATATTTATCCGGTCTACATAGAAAGTTCCCAGCCAGCTGGGGCTACAGAGAGAGACCCTGTCTCAAACATTTTTTAAATTAAAAATAAAAATTTTAAGATTTTTATCCCGGGTAGAGCATTCTCTTCTGAAAGAATTCACTTTGAAATTCCATTTCAACAACATAAATAGGACACACCTGGTTCTTCTCCGTATTTTCTGAAGCCCTCGCCGCCCAAACTCACATTTCAGGGTGTTACCTGCACAGGTTACCTGCTCAGCTCAACCGTCTTCACCTCACCCTTGCTCAGGCCTCAGGGATACTCTCCTAAGCGCTGTGGACTCCAGGCTGACCCTTTAAGGTCTCTGGAAGGGAGACATGGGGAGGATGTTGGGGGACCCCCTCCACACCAGCCTCTGGCTATTAAGAACAAAAATCCAACAACAAAAGTCCAGGGTGGCCTCCTCCGAACGGCCTACCCACCCACTGCAATGTCCATCCACTTGCTCACTGGCATCTCTAGTACCAAGTGCGCAGATTTACATTTCACACCGACCTGTGTTTGTTGGCTGTGTAGTGCCAAGACTTGGAGCCCTCTGCATCTCCTTGTTGAATGAATCAATTAATTTCCTCTTTAACCACGCCTCGTCTGCAAGCGCCCTGCGCTGGTCAGAGAGACTACCAGGTAGAGGGGAGTGTGACGGTACAGGAGGCAGTGGATCGCGGGGACGTGGACTGGCTTTTGTCCGAGGAACTTACTGACTTTATCTCCCTGAGGGCATCTCCACTGAGGCTGGACTTCCACTGCCGGACAGACCCACATCCTCGGGCAGTCGGGGTCCATGCTGATCACCCACAGCTGGCCCTTATGGCCTAACAGGCGAGCTTGCAGCAAGCTAGGAAGGTTCTTTGGTTGTTTGGGGACGGCAGAGGAGGGAGGGAGGGGGAGCAGGTTGGTTTTGTTTGTTTTGCGGCGCTGGGGGTTGGATCCAGGGCCTCACTGCATGCTAAGGAGAGCTCTGCACCTAGCCGCACTCCCAGCCTGAGGAACGGTATTGGAGTAGGAACACTTCTTAGGTAATATTTGCTGTTTGAGAGGCTAAAGGCACCCAAAGGCAGCAGAAGACTGCGGATTAAAAACCACCCTGGTCCCATAAATCTTAAATAAGGAGAAAGATCATGTACTTAGTAACAGCGATCGTCGGTAGATGTCGCCAGACCCCAAGGTATGAAGTGGCCGCCAGCTGACCCTGGGGGGAGGGGAGGGCTACGGACTGCAGGAGGTAGGTCCCGGTTCCTAGGGGTGGGCTAGCTGATTATGTCCTGTCATTTGCTGAAGGATATTGGCACTTATTTTATCTGCTTGTCAAGTTAACTTCCTTTGGTGCTTTATTTGGGGGCTATGCATGCCACCCGTCACCCTTTGGCTGGCGATCCGAATATGGAGGGTGCTGGGCACTGACTTTCTGAGCTGTGCAGGCTTCCAGCGCTGATGGTTACTGAGTGAGAGTCAGTTGGTCATTTATCTGCCCCGGACCCCAAAAGCGAAAGAGCTAGAAAATCTGCCCAGTGTTCATTGGCAGAAGTTGAATTTTAAAAACCCGGGCTTGATAAAGCTGTATCGACCTCTTCTAATGGGTTCATGGAGCGTTCCCCCTTGGAGTTAAACAATTTCTCAGGTCCTTCCAGGGTCCCACTGGAGAAAAATGTAAATAATTTCTGTAGTGTGTTTGCTGAAGTCTATAATTTAGAAACAATGCTATTTGCAGATGATCCAGTGTTATTCAGTTTGGTTCAGGAGCTCACTTTGTCAAGACAAAGTCTTCATTTGAGTCTTAAATAAAGAAAAGTTGGGGGGTTTTCAATCGTTTACAATTTTATTTTATTTTTGTTTTATGTGTATGTGATTTGCTTGCCTGTAAACATGCATGCAATGCCCAAAGAGGCCAGGAGAAGGCACCAGATCCCCTGGAACTGGAATTAGGAACAGTTGTTAGCCACCATGTGGGAGCTGGGAATCCAACCCAATTCCTCTGTAAGAGCAAGCCAGTGCTTTTAACTGCTGAGCTATCTCTCCAACCCTGAAAAGTTGGTGTTTAACAAATGTAACTAGAATAGAAATAAAAGGTTAAGTTACTTAATTTAAAAATACACTGTGATGGAACAAGTCTGAACTTTAAAAAATATATTTAAAAAAATTAAAACATATATGCATACATATATAACTTGCATTAATTTAAAAATAAACTGTAACCTCAGGCTGGGGGTATAGCTTGGTATCAGAACAATTGTCTAGCATGTGCAAAGCCCTGGGTTCAATCCCCAACACCCCAAGAAAACAAAAACATACTGTGAACTAATACGTAGTGTATGATCTCATAGAGGCTGAGAATAGATTGATGATTACCAAAAGTCAGTTGGAATGGTGCTCAGCAGATTATTATTCATTGCCCTGGAGCTGGCTGATTATATTTACACAACAGCCAGGATGGAAAGCATGTGCAAAGCCCTGGGTTCAATCCCCAACACCCCAAGAAAACAAAAACATACTGTGAACTAATACGTAGTGTATGATCTCATAGAGGCTGAGAATAGATTGATGATTACCAAAAGTCAGTTGGAATGGTGCTCAGCAGATTATTATTCATTGCCCTGGAGCTGGCTGATTGTATTTACACAACAGCCAGGATGAAAGCATGGCCATCCAAGTAGGATGAAGTTGAAGTATGAACTTGGGTCACCAGCCCTGCTTTGAAGCTCATTTGGAGTGTTAATACCAGCACGGCCAACTATTGCCGGCCCCCACATCACTGGTCCTGGCTGCAAATTGCTGGAAGAGTGCATTGCCTTCCTCAGTGGAAATGACCTCTCAAAGTGTTCTGGAGGCCAAGCATATAATAAGCAGCTGGATGTTGGAGTAGGATGGCAAGGACAGCAAGGACAAGGCACCTGCTGTACCCAGGTGCTCCAGGTAGCCCTGAAGTGCTCCTTAGGGCTCAGTGGGAAGGTGCTGTGGTCAGTTCAGAGTCCTCCTGGGGAGCCATCAACAGCTAGCACCCTGTAGCTGCAGCAGAAGACCTTCCAAGTCTTCTTGAAGTTTTGTTCTGGCTTCAGCTCTGTTCAGTTTATGGGACAGACAAGGAGCCCCCAAGAGCTCTTTCAGGGGAGCCTGTCTTATTGGTCTACACCCCTGCTTATATTGTTCTGATGTGGAGAAAACCACACTTGTTCCTCATCTGGCTGTCTGAGGTGTGATTGTGGTTTGCTTCTGTCTTTTCATTATTTCAGAATCTGAAATGCAAATTAGCTGGTTAACTGTGCAGCCCCTTCCCACTCACCTCCATCCATTTGTATGATTAATGATGTCCAAATAATAAACCAAAAATAACCCTCCTTATTATTTTTTCCTCTTTGAGCTGCTTTTGTCTCCTATCTGCTGACATTGTCACCCTAGTGGTTGGGTGTAACGACAGTACAGTCTGGGCTTTAGCTCAGTAGTAGAACACTTGCATGGCATGCAAAAGACCCTGGGTTTGATCCTCAGTACTGGGGGGTGGGGGTGGGGTTCTAAATATTGACAGTAGGATAAAGGAGTAAGAGTATAGGTATTGTAGATGAATATGGGCTCACTCATTCATTCAACAAACCTTCCCTGAGGGTTGCAGAATGCCGTTGTACAACCTAAATACCAGTTGTGCCACACACCTGAAGGTTAAGTCTCTGATCGTAGCTGTCTTGCTTGTTATGAGGGAAACAGTGCCTCTGTGGGTTTCCACTATCAGTCAATGGAAAACATGGCAAGACCATCTATGGTCAGTGCTTAATAAATTCTGTTTCTTCTTTTGGGGCCCAACACAAGGAGGTAGCTTTGGTGAATAACAGATTCATGAGTCTGCCTACCCCCAGCCCTGGGGACCTGGGCATCCTATTGCACTTACCAGCATGCAGAAAAAGCAAGGCCGCCAACCCGGCTCCATATCTTTGAAAAGTTTACTCTCCTTGGGCAAACACGAGGTATCAAAGAAACAAATAAGAGAAACACAAAAGTTCAGTTATCCCAGGTGGGGGTTAATTGGACTTAACTGAAGTCATCAAGTGGCATGAAGCCTGTCAAATTTTCAGATAGTGTGTGTGTGTGTGTGTGTGTGTGTGTGTGTGTGTGTGTGTATAGAGGGCAAACTCAGATTAGCAACCAAGAGGTGTGGTCCTGACCCCAACCAGGGTCATGCTTACTTATGAAAGCAAGTGCCTTTGGACTTAACCTCTCAGGCTCAAGAATGTCCTTTTGTCTGAAGAAGGAGGGGTTGGGGTAGATGGTGGGTAGATGGTAGAAGACCCTTCCCTCCCTCCCTCCCTCCCTCTCTCCCTCCCTCCTTCTTTCTCTCTCTCCCTCTTTCTGTCCCTTTCCTCCTCCCAGAGCTTTCCCTGTACAGCTCTTCTGTGTGTGAGCCTCTGCTGGACATGAGGGAAACTGAGGCCAGTATAGAAGCAGAGAGTGGTCATTCCATTCTGGCTCTAGCTAAAGAACTCCCTATATAGTGTGGATGCTCTGTAAACAATGCAGGAGCCGCTCATGTCCTGTTCTCCTCACTTTCAGCTCTGTCCTATAGAGATGGGGACAAGGGAGGAAGCTTGGGAGGCCACAGGACTCTTTTATGTGGATTAAGAAGTTGAGAACCACTGGGCAAGGTAGCACATGCCTTTGACTCAGCACTCCAGAGGCAGAGGCAGGCAGATCTCTGGGCATTTGAGGCAAAACAAACACAAAAACAAAAACCAACAAAAAAAAATAAGTTGAGAACAAACAAGGGAAGAGCTGTTGAGTGGGCCACAACTGATGAGACAGGTAACCCATTAGTCTATAGACTTGTGGTCACCATGGCATCGTCCCAGCAACCTTGCCCCATGATAAAAGGTGTAGACATTTTGTCTCTGAGGACTTCTTAGTCTTCTATAAGATACAGCCTTGCTTACTAGCTTAGTTTAAATTTAGACTGTAGCCTTTATTATGACAGAATGCATATAACATAAAATCCACCATCTTACCTGTGTGTGTGTGTGTGTGTGTGTGTGTGTATGTGTGTATTACTGGGGATTCAGTCCAGGACCCTGTGCATGCCAGGCAAGCACTCTACTACTAAGCTACAGACACAACCCTTTTTTTTTCCACCTTTAATTTGGAGACCAGGTCTTACTGAACTGCCCAGGGTGGCCTCTAACTTGTGATCTTCCTACTTCTTCCTCTTCTGTAGCTGGAATTATAGACTCACATCGTTAAACCCAGCCTAAACTTTTTTTTTTTTTTTTTTTTCGTCTTTTTGTGGCAAGGTATCTCTGTAGTCCCAGCTGGCCTGGAACTCACTATGTAGACCAGGCTGGCTTCAACCTCACAAAGATTTGCCTGCCTCTGCCTTTTAAGTGCTGGGATTAAAGGCATGTACCACCGCCATGCCTGGAAACTTTTTTTTTTTTTTTAAAAAAAAAAAAGATTTTATGGGGCTGGAGAGATGGCTCAGCAGTTAAGAGCCCTGGCTGCACCCACATGGGGCCTAACAACCCTACATAACTTCAATTCCAGGTGAATTCAACACCTTCTTCTGACCTCTGTGGGCATTGCATGACACAGGTACACTTACATACATGCCAGCAAAGTATTCATACACATAAAATAAAAATAAATAAAATATTTAAAAATTTTTTAAATTTATTTTTATGTGTATGAATGTTTTGCCTGCATGCATATGTGTACAATACCCACAAAGGCCAGAAGAAGGCATCAGATCCCCAGGTACTGGAGTTAAGGATAGTTGTTAGTTGCCATGTGGGTACTGGGAACTGAACCTGTATCCTCTGGAAGAGCAACCAGCGCTCTTAACAGCTGAGCCGTCTCTCCAGTCCCCCAGCTTAACCATATTTACAAGGCATCTTACGTCTAAACTTTTTATCTAGACTGAAAACCCTGCCTCACTGCCAGCCTCGGTTCCTCTGTTCAGGCAGATGGGTGGAGGCAATACATTCAGAAGGAATCTGAAGGAGATGAGGGACAGGGACTTGGGAAGCTAAGTATGGTTTGAACTGAATATGGTTTGAACTGAAGTATGACCTTAGCCAGATACCTGGAGACTAGCAAAGCAGGAATGCTCCATAGAATTACTATGTGGTGCACAAGAGACCAGGAATGAGTCACTGAGTAAGGCAGTGGTACTGGGTACCACCTTTAGGCAGG